CTTTTTAAGGTGATATGAAAGTGTGACTTAACTTCCCAAAAACGAAACTCGTGTACATCCGACCACCGTCGCTTACTCAAATCGTCGGTGGTCAGAAACTGAAAGATTAAGGCAGCCAGAATCCTGATTGACGAAATACAAGTAGAAAATTTCTTCCATGGGCTGTTTACCGTACATAGGCTTTATCTTTTTAAGGTGATATGAAAGTGCGACTTAACTTCCCAAAAACGAAACTCGTGTACATCCGACCACCGTCGCTTACTCAAATCGTCGGTGGTCAGAAACTGAAAGGTTAAGGCAGTCAGAATCCTGATTGACGAAATACAAGCAGACAATTTTTTCCATGGAGTGTTTTTCACACATGGGCTTTATATTTTTAAGGTGATATGAAAGTGTGACTTAACTTCCCAACAGTGAAATTCGTGTACATCCGACCACCGTCGCTTACTCAAATCGTCGGTGGTCAGAAACTGAAAGATTAAGGCTGTCAGAATCCTGATTGGCGAAATACAAGCAGACAATTTTTTCCATGGAGTGTTTTTCACACATGGGCTTTATCTTTCTAAAGTGATATGAAAGTATGACTTAACTTTCCATAAACGAAACTCGTATACATCGCTTACTTAAATCGTCGATGGTCAGGAACTAAAAGATTAAGGCAGTCAGAATCCCGATTGATGAAATGCAATCAGAAAATTTCTTCCATGGGCTGTTTTTCTTAGATGGACTTCATCTTTTTAAGGTGATATGAAAGTGTGATATATACACACCAAAAAGTCAAAATATTTATAAAACTTTTCTTCAAACTAGGTGCACCAAATTATTTGATACTTCAACACGTGATCATGGAGATCCTAAGGAATAACGGGATGCTAGTGAAATTTGATTTTTCGCAAAAAAAATGTGTATTTATCTCGGACTGGAACCAAAAAAAAGAGATTTTGTTTTCGAAAAATGAAATTTCACAGGCGGCGCGTTCTTCCTTAGAGCCTCCATAATCACGTGTTAAGTTTCAGATAATTTGGTGCACCTAATTTTGGGAAAAGTTCTATAAATAATTTGATTTTTTAGTACGTATATATCATACTTTCATATCACCTTAAGACGCTTGCCTATTATTGGTGGCCACCAAATGAAATGACGTTTGGGATTCAAGAAATGGAAAACTTTACGTCGTTTTCATCTGATGCTTCTGGTATACTTCCCTACATTTTAAGACTACATGTTTTTTTTTTTTTTTTCAGGTAATCTTATTGAATTGCGCGGATTAATATTGAATACTGCTCAGTATCACTATCTTCCACGTACTATTAAATGATAACGTCCCTATACCGATCACGTAAACACACCTAGGCATTAACCAACTTTTAACAATCCTGCATTTTATACTGCGTCGTATGTATACAGGTGTACTTAACCCAAACAGAACTGCAAGAGTTGTACATGCAGGCTATCCTTTGACAATTAGTAACGAATCATGCGGGACACGTCGGATGAGTAATGTCCTCTACGTGCTCTGATTTCGCCGTATTTTCAATGCTCTTATTCGTCTTCTTCTTCGTCACGTGCCGGGGACTTTTTTTTTTAGAAGGGTTGAAAGCTCAACTCTCATCCCGGAATAGCATTTCTAGAAGCTGTTACATCGAAACCGAAACCGACCTTGATTGTTGCTATTTAAAGTGACAAAACATTGTGATAATTGAGTTCGTTATCTACAAATCTGAGCGAATACTCGGTTTAGGATGTGATAAGATTGAAGAATTATGGCTGCACTGAATTGCAATTAATGATATTAAGCGTGTACATCCGCAAATAAGTGCTAAATTTATGTCCTGTACCTGTAAATTGGTAAATATTCCCAATTACTGAACTAGGATATGATAAGATTGAAGAATTACGGCTGCACCGAATTGATAGTTGCTATTTAACGTGACAAAACATTGTGACAATTGAGTTCGTTATCTACAAATCTGAGCGAATACTCGGTTTAGGATGTGATGAGATTGAACAATTATGGCTGCACCGAATTGCAATGAATGATATCAAGCGTGTACATCCGCAAATAAGCGCAAAACTTGCGTCCTGTACCTGTAAATTGGTAAATATTCCCAACTACTGAACTAGAGAAGTTTTGTGCATTAAAGGTGTTCTGGATTACCTGCGGTCATTGTCACAATGAAACAAAAAATTAATCCTTAAAACATGTCATTGTTATCAAAATGTCGGGCCAAATTTGTGCTATTAAATAGTTGTATTCGATTTAGGATTTGATAAGATTGAAGAATTATGGCTGCAGCGAATTGCAATGAATGATATTAAGCGTGTGCATCCGTAAATAAGCGCTAAACTTGCATCCTGTACCTGTAAATTGGTAAATATTCCCAACTACTGAACTAGAGAAGTTTTGTGCATTGAAGGTGTTCTGGACAACCTGCGGTCATTGCCGCAATGAAACAATAAATTAATCCGTGAAACATGGTCATTGTTATCAAAATGTAGGGCCAAGTTTGTGCTTTGAAATGGTTGTATTCGATTTAGGATTTGATAAGATTGAAGAATTATGGCTGCACCGAATTGCAATGAATGATATTGTCAGCCGACCCCTGTGGGACAGATGCCCATATCGAGGCCTTTCTTATTCTTTTTCTCTATTTTAATAACCATTGATCCTGGGCAAATAATTGTAGAGTATAATAGAGATAAAATATGACGGTATGACATGGACATGGAATTGTTTGTAAACGAAAGCATATTCCCACTTTAGAAGCATATGTTAAAAACGTAGGCGTCTATCCCCAGACAACACCATAGTACCTATGAATATTCTTTAAATCTTTCAATATACTTTGGATATTTGTAATATTTAGTGAATATCTACTATATATGTAACCAGGATGAAAACTGGCTTCTACTTTGGACTTGGAAAACGAAAACAATTCAATATATTTACTGCCGAATCGAGGAATAATTATTTTAAACGTTCCAACAAACCTTTTTAAGAATACTCAAAGCATGTTCAGGCTTATGAATGTACATACAGGATATTCAGTAAATATTCCAAATATCCAGAGTATATTAAATGATTTAAAGAATAATCATAGGTACAATGGTGTTATCTGGGACGACCGTAGTAAAGCCAAAAAAAATCGCGAAGGTTGTTTCGGCATTGGGGCTGAAATCCTGGGAGTCTGCGAAATCCGATTATTGAAAGGATGAGATTGAATGAAATGTTTCATGATGTATGTACGCCTTAGAGAAGTTATAGGCTCGGAAACGGTTTCGTCGGGAACGGAGTCGACGTTACCGGTCCTGTCGAAAATGACGAAGCGTTTGCCAATTTCTACGGTTTTGCGTCCCGGCGCGAACAGTCGGGTAGAGTGAGCTCTCGTTATTTGTAGGGACGTATAATCAGCTCCCATCGGGCAAATTAAAACGGCTCGGAGCGGCAGACCGTTAATTTAACAGTGCTCGCTCGTCGAGAGCGACACATCCATTCAATTTCGTCGGACGAGCTCGAAGCGACCGTCGAGGGTTCTTTGAGAACCGACTTCGAGCTTTTCGCAAGTGCCCTGGCCAAAAGAGACGCGCAAACCGATTTTATCCCAGTGGTAACGTCAGACGCAATGAGTTCGACGAAAACCTCAAAGCCCACCAGAAGCAACAGGTTAAGGCCGTTCCCCTTTTCGCGGCTGATAAATACCGGTCCCTTTTGATGGGATTTCTGTATAATGTTGCAGATCTCTGGATGACTATCCAGACTCCCTGATTCCATCCCAGTGTCCCGTAAATCAATGCCGTTTCGTTTGTATTTCAAGAAATTCACATTAAGTAGTACTATTTAACAGTATTGATCCATAACATGTTCTAAAATTTAAGTTGTGTTTTGATTCCATGGTATGATTCAATTTTGAACATCTAAATGCCGACTTGAAACGTCATTCTTTGATCGAACAAGTCTAGAGCAAATTCTGTTGTGTAGATATTTTGTTGGGCTGTATGCAAATGTGGTCAAGATCTTAATTGCCGACATGAAACGTCATTCTTTCATTGAATAAATTTCGAGCAAATGTTATACAGGTGTTTGTTGGGCTGTATGTAAACGTGGTTAAGATCTTAATTGCCGGCGTAAAACGTCATTCTTTGATCGAACACGTTTGGAGCAAATTCTGTAATGCAGGTGTTTGTTGGGCTGTATGCAAACGTGGTTAAGATCTTAATTGCCGACATGAAACGTCATTCTTTCATGGAATAAATTTCCAGCAAATGTCATACAGGTGTTTGTTGGGGTGTCTGTAACCGTGGTTAAGATCTTAATTGCCGACATGGAACGTCATTCTTTGACCGAACAAGTTTGGAGCAAATTCTCCTATGCAGATGTTTTGTTGGGGTGTATGCAAACATGGTTAAGATCTTAATTGCCGACATGAAACGTCATTCTTTCATGGAATAAATTTCCAGCAAATGTTATACAGATGTTTGTTGAGATGCATCTAAACGTGATTAATATCCTAATTGCCTACATAAACCGTTATTCTTTGATCGAACACGTTTGGAGCAAATTCTGTAATGCAGATGTTTTGTTGGGTTGTATGCAAACGTGGTTAAGATCTTAATTGCCGACATGAAACGTCATTCTTTCATGGAATAAATTTCCAGCAAATGTTATGCAGGTGTTTGTTGAGCCGTCCGTAAACGTAGTCAAGATCTTAATCGCGGAGAGGTTGAATGATTCTTTAGACCGCGCGTCATTGACGGTCCGCAACTTGTCCGCTCATAATGATTTCCGCCACTTTGTCCCATCCAATTTGCTGAAGGGGCCGAGGGGGTTGTAAAGGGGTGAAGATTTCCTGGTATGCCAGACGCGTATACGGACTCGCATCGAGTTCCTTCTTTCTTTCCGACGCTTCGACACCCATTTCCGGCCGGTAATGCTCCGAGCCCTCTGCTTCTGTCGGGAGAATAAACAAGAAAGAATACCGGAAAGTCAAACGCGAACTCACCCGGTATGGGCGAAGTTACACCACCAGGTCATTATGGCCTCCGAGAAGAGAGCCTCGCCGATGTTGTACGGATCCCGCGAACGATGTCCCTCATCGTTAAGAGGAACTCCCAGAATGTAGGACAATTCCTCCCCGTGGTAGGTGCGCCGTAATTGTTTCTGAAACATTCCAAAAACGCTTTTTAGAGGCCGCCAGTACTGCGCTCCTGTATTATGAATTCGGGGGTGGAGTGCTTACAACCTCGCTAAGGAATTTCCGAATCGCCGGAAAAATAGGGTCCCATGTTCCGGTAATGTCTAACTAACCATAAAGTTCTACATGTGAACGCGTTTTTAACCCTTTGAGCGGTACGGACCCATAAGTGCGCCAGACGTTTGGGTCAATATTGCTTGCCCGCCCTAACGAAATTCGACCATATGCCAAAAGGGCTGAGCGCTGATGGGTTAATATGCCTTCGCTTAAACTCGAATAACTTCTTTATTCTTTAACCAATGTTGGAAAAATTTTACGTTTCCCTGAAGAAATTAGATCATTTCTGCTGGAGAGCGAAGAGTCGTTCAATTGGTAAAAAGTTTAAATCTACGTTTGTATCTGCATAGAAAAACATCTACCCAGCTTTATTAGGAAATTATAAAAAACCTAATTTCTTACCCTTGTGTCTTTTCGTTAAATCTCCATATATTCGGAGGATAACAATATTAGCTTAATAAATTTAAATTTGGGTACTTTTTTAACATTTTCCCTCCACTTTCACGTCAATCCGAGAAATTGTAATAAATTCAGTCACATTTTCCGCCTCGGTCGGGTCAATTGTCAAATCCTCCTTCCATTCTCAATTGCGCTCCATCTCCTCACTTCTCTTGTTCAACTCTCTGATTTTTTTTTACCAAAGTGCTAATTTCCTTCATTTAATTCCGCCCTTCGACCTCCGTCGAAGTTTCCATTTCCTCGTCCCTTTCTCAACTTGAATTAAAATTCGCCTGGACTTTGTCGTCATTTTTTGTCTCTATTCTTAGCAAAACCTGACATTCACTCATATTCGTAACAGCTTAGTAATGACCTATTTTAAATTGGATCACCCCTGTATTGGTAATAAATTAATTGAATTGGAAACCGCTTCCAAGTATCCTTGCTTAATCTATCACGTTCCTCGATGCTTTTCGTCTACCTGTATTAGATGATGATAACACGTTTTATAAGTCTTTTTGAACATATTTACTAGTTAATTTATTTCCTAATTAATTTATTACTTTACTTTTTTTTACTTATTTTACACAGGTTTTACATCTGCTATAACAGTGCTTTCCTTTGCGGATTCATTTTTTACGAAAAGGAACATCAAAATATATGAGCGGTACTGCATATCCGATACAATATATTTGCAAATACATATGTGATATTAAACAAGACGTGTGTTATCACAATATTCCGTCGCCGGGAAGATGTGAAAATTCATGATTAAAAGTGTAACGTTATTAATAAAATTCATAAAATAAAAATAAAAAGTTTAACGTCATTAATAACATTCATGAAATAAAAATAAAAAGTTTAACGTCATTAACAAAATTCATAAAATAAAAATAAAAAGTTTAACGTCATTAATAAAATTCATAAAATAAAAATAAAAAGTTTAACGTCATTAATAAAATTCATAAAATAAAAATAAAAAGTTTAACGTCATTAATAAAATTCATAATTAAAAGTTTAAGTTCAACTGCAAATGAACTTTACTTGAATTCTGGGCAGGATTCCAGCAAAGCAAGAGTAATCGTGGAGTACCTTTCGGTTATCATCTCAGAGAGAAACTTGTACACTTGAATCGAGATTCGGACACAGAACCCACCCAGGTTGCTTCATCAATTGAAACAAAGTTAGTATTGCTTAACCAAAGTACGAAGTTGCGCTTTGGTTGTACTTTCAAACTATCGGCCGAGCCGAGTCTATAGATTATTGATTGATACCGAGTATAGCTCTATAATTTGAAGAAATGAATACGAGATACGAAAATTCTTCCATTAACTAAAATATACAGAGCCGCTTATATACTTTAGAATTACTGCTGATATTCCTTTCCGTAGAGAACGAATCTTTAAATGAAATTCTTATTACAGCAGACCCATTAACGTAATAAACTCATACATTAATTAGTAAAGAAATGATATAAATGTTCCGTCAGAAATTCCCTTAAGCGCTCGGTACTGATTATTCTGGACAGAATTATTTTCATTTAGATTTATATCACCTTTGTTGGATTTTAAATGTTGAAAATTATCTTAGAGAATAACGCTGTATCATTAACAACGACGTACCTGCAGGTTGGCTCTATAGTAAAACACAGTGATAATGTAAATAATAATTTAATGGTAAATATGTAATTCGGATGAGATACCAATAACAATGAATAGCGGTAGAATATAAATTTCGCCAGGCCTATAAGCCATGCTTATCGTAACTTCTTTATATATTTAATGTTATAATTTCAATTAGAAAGCAGTATTTCTTTAGCGCACTGTGTGTACCACAATTATATTGGCAAGATTACATACACCATTCAATGGGTTACATCACTATTCGTGCGGTTCAAATAGCCGAAATATTTGTACTATATCGATATAATAATTCTAACCAAATGATTTTCTTGACTTGACTTCAATAAATGTTTCACTTAAACGAATATTGTAAGAGAAGAAATTTTCTATTGAAGAAGGCAAAGAAGCTTGGATGTTCGTCCTATTTAATAACGTGCGGTTATTATAACTTTTTCACTCCTTTTTTGCATAACGTTACAACTTGGATCACTTATTTGCCGGAATCGAATAAATCATTTTAAAAAATTTAAATACAATTGATAGAAATAATATGTTTTGCTTTAAACATGTGTGTGTGTGGACGAAATAAATCGTTATCTCAGTGCAGTGCGGTTATTATAACTTTTTCACTCCTTTTTTGCATAACGTTACAACTCGTATCAGTGCCTTCGAAGAACCTTGCGGCATCTCTGAATATATTTGTCGGAATAAAATAAATCATTTAAAAAATTTAAATACAATTGGTAGAAATAATATGTTTTGCTTTAAACATATTTCTGTGTTTGGTTGAAATAAATTGTTATCTCAGTGCAGTGCGGTTATTATAACTTCTTCACTCCTTTTTTGCATAACGTTACAACTCGTATCACTTATTTGCCGGAATCGAATAAATCATGTTAAAAAATTTAAATACAATTGATAGAAATAATATGTTTAGCTTTAAACATGTTTCTGTGTTTGGATGAAACAAATTGTTATCTCAGTGGAGTGCGGTTATTATAACATTTTTAACTCCTTTTTTGCATAACGTTACAACTCGTATCACTTACTTCGAAGGACCTTATGGCATCTCTGAATGTATTTGTCAGAATAAAATAAATCATTTTTAAAATTTAAACACAATTGATAGAAATAATATGTTTTGCTTTAAACATATTTCTGTGTTTGATTGAAATAAATTGTTATCTCAGTGCATAGTTCACGTAAGTTGGCGATTACAATGTATTTCGGCAACGATGGCGGCGTTTCTGCTTTAAGGCAGTATTTTCTCATGGCAATTGGCGTTTCGTTAAAACAACCCCCATTTCTTCGGTTAATTTTCCCCGATTTATCCACTTGTCGGCCGGATTCAACGGCCATTGTCCGACTTAAGCGACAATTTGTTTCGGGCGAGGAGGCACCAATAGAGCGGTATAGCGTGGCCGCGCGTTAATGAACGCTCGTGCATTATTTCCCTTCTCGAAAATTGCTCTTCCGCCACGTCTTCGCAAAGTAGAAAAGGTCCGAGATAGGGAAGGAGTTACTCACGCCTGAATAATCTTGGACGGCTTTCGGATGCGAGAAGACGTACATATAGCTCTTCGGGTTGGCTCGCGAATGCAAATTGGCAGTCATTATTAATGGGGCGACGGTCCCACTGTCCGAAAGCGCTTCCAGAACGATTTCCCGATTCTTCATTTCATAGTCGCTCGGAAAGCCATTCGAATAGTCCCCGTAATGTTCCAAAACCTTCGAAGGCACCAGCACCGGCTCCACCTCGTGGGTTGCCTGAAAGAAGCGATTCCCTGATTTATTTTACCGCATTTTCATCTTCGACGGGCTTCGAATCGCGCCCGACAGGATATGAACCACTTGGCAGCCGAGCAGAATTAACTTTTTCTTCTTCCGTTTATATCTCACGACGTGCTCGCCGTATAAATCTCCGCTATAACAAAAGTGGGCTAACTTTACTTAGAATCAAAGAGACTTTTTACGGATTTCTCTTGTTACGAAGTGAAATGTACGCAATGTTGAACTAGAAAAGAATGCCGAACACTAAATCGCAATGTGAAATTAGACCTTTTAGTTGAATGTATTCAATTTGTGAATATTAATTGACATTGATTGACAAAAATGGAGCAACTTTACTTAGAATCGAAGAGACTCCCTACAGATTTCTCTTGTCACGCAATGAAATCTACGCATTGAACTGAAGAAGAATGCCGAACACTAAATCGCAATGTGAAATTAGACCTTTTAGTTGAATGCATTCAATTTATGAACATTAACACTGGAACTACCGGCGGATTTTTTTTGTATAGGATGGGCCATTTGAAACCAGTCATTTTGACTGTCTTAGTAGTACTATTGTTAATTAACATTGATTGACAAAAGTGGGCTAACTTTACATAGAACCGAAGAGCCCTTCTGTGAATTTCTCCTCCATTGTTGAACCGAAAAAGAATGCCGAACACACAATCGCATTCTGAAACCAGACCTTTTAGTTGAATACATTCCATTTGTGAATACTAATAGACATTCATTTATATGAAACTACCCCTTAGAAATTGAATCCATCATTGCTCGAATTTTTTGCGCTACTTTCCTTATACCGTTTCTATCTACAAATCCCCCAATAACGTGCAAGATTTTATTTTAAACTCATGAGTAATAATGCTTTATGAAATTTTGCCTCCTGCTATCATGTTGTAGAGCACATTGCACCGTGTACACGCTTTCGCGTAACTTGTTTCTATAATTATCGCGCACTTCATTTGTTCGTCTCTCTTCAATAAGGCACAAAATAGAAAAAGACATTCGTTCTTCGCAAGCCTGCCTCTTTCCCTAAAACGCTGCCATTTATTGTATTCAAATCGAATGCAAATTAAGAGTATTATTCCACAGAGGTGGAATAGCAATTTTTTACCCTTGCCAGTTCTCGAAGTATGTCGTCCCTCTCTTTATCCGTAATCCCGTTGAGCAGCTGTTCCGATGACAAGACGTGAGCTTTCTCCAGCTCTGTCACTCCGTACATCAGGTCGTATCTGTCAAGAATTTAATTTGTTAATTCGGGCACTCGCAAAATCTTCCCCCAAAGGGAAAACAACGCAAACCTGCAGACGAAACGTGCAACTTCCGCCAGACGTCTGAGGATAATGTATTGTTTCTCCCCCGCGTTCCATAATTCCATCTCGTTAGGGTGAAACTCTATAAACAGCATATTTTACCTGGCAAAAGTTTGGGGATTTTCCATCAACTTTAAAGGGTGGTCCAAAATGACGGCTTTGTCGATCAAAGGTGCATATGCCGGAACAAAGGTGGGCTTGTGAAGTTTAACCCGTAATAGGTGATACACTTCTCTGCTCCGCAAACAGTTGGCCAACTCTTTGTCCGTCGTGGTTGGACAATTTAACTCGTGAGCCACCTATTAAATGGTACCATTAATGAACTGAATCCGTACAGCATTCAGGAAATGTGCAACGAAATAATCCACCTGTTTAGTGATCTGCAACGGTGCTTTTCCAATCGCATCCGCGCTCAGGGCTGATCCAGACATCAGGATGGCCCTCTTGAATAAATCTGAATAACAAGAAAAGAACTTTTATTAATCCATCGAGAATTCCCATATAGTGTAACAGAAGCTAATGAACGTTGACGGCGTTTTAAGTCGAAAGTTTCATTGCCGAAACAAAAGGCAGAGACGCTGAATTCGGATTTTGTGATGACCACGCAATACACTTTTTTACGTCATGATCAGCTAAATGTATTTCAACATTGTACCACAAAAATACTTTCGGTGTAGAAAAACTTGCGCCAAATACAACTTATTGGAAAAGTTCATTTTGCATAGTCGTGTCCATATAGTCGCGACTAATCGCACACAAACAATTCAATCGGTAACTTTTGACAAATACATGCACTGAGTGTCATGTGATAAATAAAATCTTATATCAACACACACATAAAGTAATAATTGACCACATAGCTGTGATGAATCACTTTTGGTGAACACGTATATTATATTACATTTAAAACAATATGTATCTTAAAACAATGTAATTGTATGTACGGACCTGCCAAGTAGTGTTCAATAAGGAATCACTTAACGTTTTATCATTAAATAACAATGCATTATGTTTGAATGTAAATGAGGAGTAGTAACAAAGATAAGACCAGCGAAGGTGATAAAATCTATAAATGAAGAAATTAAAGCGGGGAAACCTGATCATATGAGAAGAAGACATCTAGTAACGTAGGTATTATACTTGGCCTTTTATTTCGATTTTATTACTTTTTCATCCAGAAACACAAATCCGAAAATAAACGGCGAACTTATACAATGCAAAGTTATTCGAACTAATTTCCTAACTTAATTGCTCGTATCCACGTGGAAGTAAAACTTGTGAGAGCTGCTCTCAGACAGCATTTTTCGGCATTGTACACGATTTTGGAAGCGAATTTGCGCAAATTTATTGACAATGTACACCCAAATTGAAGTAATTTGTGACATTTCTTGTGAGGACCTTATCGACAAGAATTGTCTGATAGCAGCTCTCGCATGTGGGTATGAGTCATAATATTAACGCAGCAATAAAACAAAGTAGAACATTAAATAGATGTCTTCCATTGACATGAGACATGTAAAATGAAGGAGAATAAATGGAGATTTTGTACAATGCAAAATTATTCGACCTAATTTTCTAACCTAATTGCTCGTATTCACGTGGAAGTAAAACTTGTGAGAGCTGCTCTCAGACAGCGTCTTTCGGCATTGTACACGATTTTGGAGGCGAATTTGCGCAAATTTATTGACAATGTACACCCAAATTGAAGGAATTTGTGACATTTCTTGTGTGGACCTTATCGACAAGAACTGTCTGATAGCAGCTCTCGCATGTTTTACTCGCATGTGAGTATGAATCATAATATTAACACAGGAATAAAACAAAACAAAAGGTTATATAGATGTCTTCCATTGGCACGAGACATGTAAAAAGAAAGAGGGGTAAAGATTGAATAAGAAATACCTTTTAGGAACGACATTTGAGGATGAGAGTGAGTGCATAAACGAGTAGGGTGAAATGTCCACCGTAAAAGCTGACTGGAGATAGCCAAATCGAGTAAGGACACCTGACAGATGTTAAGTACCCTACATACGTGAAGTGCAGGTACTTTTACGATATCGTAGCCATAAGTGTAATAATTACAGCGCATAGCCACTCTGCATGTACGCTGCACAGTAGGGCAGTGGAAAAATGATGGAGTCATAAACCTAGAGGCAACTGTTACATGTTACAACGATATAATCGTAACTGTGCTCTGATACCCCATTGTCGCTTTGTAGAGTATGTAGAGAGTGGTACGTACGGTGTCATTACATTTGTAGTGAAGAGTACCATTGCATATGGGTTGTTCGGTGCAACGTAACCTGAACCAGGGAAAGCTTCCAACCGAGGGCTCGCATAAAGTACGAAGCTTCGTTATTTCTCATCGGACAAATAATTATTAGTCACTGACTCGCGTTACGAAAGTGCAAAAGGAAAAGTCTCTCTTACAGCTGCAGTCGTGAAAAATGGTCTCTTGGTCCTTGAAAATACCAGTTGCGCGGGAATTGCACTAGGTCCTGCTCTAGGTGCATTGCTCTAGCTGAATTGCACTAGGTGCATCTAATTTATGCACACGCATGGCAAAACAGCCCCGCAAAGTGCCATACAGGCATATATTAGCATAAACTTAGCAGTATGGGTATACATTTAGTAGTACTAGCAAATCATAGATTAAGTGCCAATCGCAAGAGTAAAAGTTGCAGCAGGTAACTATTTTACATACGTTCTACAAGAGCTGGGTAACTATTTCAATTGAATATATTTGAGATAGATATGTAAATTTTAAATTGCAATTATCCATTTTAAATAAATTTTGAACGTACTTCCATTTAAAATTAAATACACCTAGGGAAAATACATAAAGGCTGAGTAATACATACATGTATTTATGCATATCAATGTAGTGGTTATGCAAATGTGCATGTTAGAAAAGGAATGAAAAGAACCAATCGTAAAGATACTTTTTTCCATCAACTGAATCAATTCTCGAAAAAGTCATACAACACCCCCAACGCGAAACGTAATTAAATTTAATTTCTTTCTCACTTGTATTTTCGTATACAAATTCTCAACAGTTCTCAATAAAATATTACAAATTTATTTCGCATTTATTGCTAACCTATTTGAAATATACATTTTGCATTTTCCATTTTTAATCGATTTTATGAAACTATTTTGCATTTCTTATTTCAAATAGATTTCGAGTACCACTTTACCCGGCTCTGCATTTTACGTAATACTCTTGTTCGTGAATGATACAATCATAATTCTACATATTACCGCGGTACAGGTGTAACAATGAGTTGACACCCCATTGGTGATTTTTAAACTACATACACAGTGATGTCTAGGACAATTGCATTTGGGTTACACGAGTGCAGAGTAAACCTGAACAATGGCTCGCTTAGAGCATTAAGCCCGGTTATTTTTCATTAGAGGGTGAAATAATTATTAGTCACTGACTCGCGTTACGGAGGTGCAAAAGTGAAAAGTCCCTCTTACACCTGCAGTCGTGATAAATGGTCTCTCGACCCCAGTACTTGAAGGAACCCTTTATTCAAGGGTTGCATTGAGTCCCTAGAATTGAATTTAGTTTATGCACCCACAAGGTACAATAATTGCGCATACTGCCAATATACGCGTATCCATAAATTTAGCAAGACCAACAAAACATAGATTGAGTATAAATCGTAAATATAAAGATCGCAGCGTGAAATCAATCTGCACATATTCTACATAATAAGGTAGTTGCGTCATAAAAAAAACAATAATATTATTACGTTCTTAACATTTTCATTAATTTGTTTCTTCTATGTAATATGCATTTGGTGCGAAACTCTGCCGTTGATACAACATGCTTATACATGCTTGCTGCTTGATGCAGGCTGCTCGATACATGTTTATACATTTATTAAATTTGTACGTGAATAAACTTTTGGGCAATGAAGTTGTACTTCAATATAAACCATGTAGTTGTAATGTAATATCTTATTGACGCATGTGCATGTGCATTGCATGTGAAAGCTACAACAATCCATTAATACCGCTTCGACAGTTTATAAACAATACACAAAGTGGTGTATACTGTGTCATTACATTTGGGTTACACGGATGCAACTTTAAGTGACGAGAATATTTGAGCGATGTTTAGCATAAATCATTACACATTGTTGTTTAACATCGGAAGGTGAAATAATTGTTATTCCCAGTCTTGCGTTACGGGGATGAAGTAGTACTTCAATATAAACCATGTAGTTATAATGTAATACCTCATTTACGTATGTGCATGTGAAAGCTACAACAATCCGCTAGTACCGCTTCGTCAGTTTATAAACAATACACAAAGTGGTGTATATAGTGTCATTACATTTGGGTTACACGGATGCAACTTTAAGTGCCGAGAGTATTTGATCGATGGTTAGCATTAATCATTACACTTGGTTGTTGTTATTCCCAGTCTTGCGTTACGGGGATGGAAAAGGAAAAGGCCCTTTTGCGGCTGTAGGTGTGAAAAATGGTCCCTCCGTGCTACTACTGAGAAGTACACACAAAGCATGGGTTACATTTGGCCCTCTTCGGAGGTGCATTCAATTTATGCACACATATGGCAAAATACCTACTCGTGCTGCCAATATACTCGTCCATCAGCACCAATTTATCAACATCAGCGAAAAGCATAGTACTGAGAAGTATGAAAATTATGGTGCATAACCACTATACGTATACGGGTGCATAATAGAGCAGTAAAAACATTATTATATCATGAACATACATGTACCGCGACATAATTGTAACAGGGCGCTAATACCGATTGTCGGTTTGTAAACTATGTGCAAAGTGGTATGTACAGTGCGATTACATTTGGGTTTCACGGGAGCAATGTTGCGTGGATGTGTGGTAGCTTGTGAGCGATGGGTTGCATAAAACATGAAGTCTGATTGTTTATCATCGGAGGGCGGAATAATTATTAGCTCCGAACTAGGAAGCTGCAAGAAGAGAAGCTCCTCCTGCAGATGCGGGGGTGTAAAAAATGGTACCCTGCTGTTAGTACTTGAAAGTACCACGTAGGGGATGCATTCAGCCCTGCTCCGAAGTGCAATCAATTTATGTACATACACGATAAAACTACCCGATTGCCAATATACGCACGCGCTAGCATAGATTTATCAGTATTGGCATCGATTTAGTAGTATCAGGGAAACGTAGATTAGATATATTACTCGTAAGTACAATATTTACAACACGTAGACTATACTTTACGTATATGATGTACACCACGATTACAAAAAATAATCTAATTATGAATCTACATATTACCGAAATATAACAACACATTGATACCGGTTGTCCCAACGTGAACAAGTGGTACTTTCCAAGAGTTCTATCTAAAAAAGTTAGTAAGTTGTAAAATGCGTTTTAATATAAATGTGTTTAGAAAATAATGAAAAGGTATAGCAAATATTAGCTCACGCGACTGTTTGATGTTTTACGAAGGACATAAGGTAAAAACAGTTTTACAATTACCAATAAAAGTAGCGAACATGTGGAGACTGGAAATGTTGTGTTTTTTAACTATGTACATGACTTAAAGCGAAGAGTAAGGTATAATAAATGTGGTTTCAAAAACCAAGAAAAGTTAATTAAGAACTGATGGCACAGTTTTTCGATGCCAAAGAAAATCAGATTCCATTACAAGACGTGTTAATCGCTTTTTCCTTATTTTCTACACCTCAATCGTTGAAACTTTTCTAACCGAAATTTATGTCAAAAATACATGTTATCAGTTCTTCGACCATTTTCTTTTTTTCTAGTTTTTGAAATCACCTTTTGTTCCAGACTTGCAGTTCTCCTAGTGTCATGCATCCCGTGAAGCCAAATCACAAATGCTCTCCATCTTGAAATATTTAATAACTTTTCTTAAGCTACGTTATCACTGACACAGAAAAAAAAATAATTTAACCCGTCGGCTCGGATTCTCTATACCTTCTCATTCTCTTCGAAAGCCATTCTTAAAATGCACCTCTCAACCTACTAACAACTTTAAGTAGGATTTCTTATAATTGGCGAGTGAACTAATTATTGGACTCGCGATAGGAACGAAGGTAAAAAGAGAAGTCCCTCTTACAGAAGCAAGGGTGAAAAAGTCTCTCGGTGTTGGTACTCGAAAGCACTCTCCACGCAGGGGGATGCATTCAGCCCTGTTCAGGGGTGCATCCAATTTATGCACACGCACGGCAAAACAGGCACGCGTACTGCCAACATACGCACGTATTAGCATATCTGATTCGACAGTTAATTCGTTCAATTAAGCCCGCGATTATCTTCCCCGTATCAGAAGCCGCGACACGATCGCGATATTCAATCTCTCGTAATCCCGACAGTCAATTCCGATTCCTGACGTTTCCAATTAGGCCAGTCACGTTTGGACGAGTAATCGATTTAATGACTCCCTTAAGGTGATGTGAAAGGGCCATTCAATATATAAATACTTCACAATATTTATTAAACTTCAGCACGTGATTATGGAGGCCCTAAGGAAGATCGCGATACTAGTGAAATTTGATTTTTCGAACAAAAAATCCATTTATCTCGGACAAGAACCGAAGAGAAACATTTTCTTTGTCGAAAAATGGAATTTCAAAGAAGTCAAAATATTTATAAAACTTCTCCAAATTGGGTGCACTAAATCATTTATAATACTAATATCGCGATCTTCTTTAGGGCCTCCATAATCCTTGTGATGAAATTTCAAATGATTTAGTGCACCCAATTTGGAGAAAAGTTTTATAAATATTTTTACTTTTTTATATGTATATATGACACTGTCATTTAACCTTAATGACCACAAGGGTACGAGGTGACGACTACAAAGAATAAGGCGGAGTAGGGCAGAATTTCCCCACTTTGGAAGTAACAAAAATGACGGTAATTCACCATTTATATTATTCATATCGCCGATTATGTATGTAATTGTTGCGCATTGAATAGAACGACTCCAACTGACGATTTTTCGTAGTTAAAAGGGTGTTCTTTAACTTGGGACAAGTTCGTCCAGTCTGACCCTAAATCGCCTGACCCTAAATCGGACCTATACCCAAGACTCCTAATTGTCGGTCAGTTAAGCTTCCCGTCGGTTTACGGCTCTTTCTTCGCTCCCAACTTCCACGTCGAAGTTCCGCTAAAAGCCGAAGGAGTTACATCGGTCAGCTAACCGCAGACGGTGGCGCTTAACTCGGAAATCACGTAGATTTACCAAGTAAACGTGGGGTTAAGAGAGTTCCTGATTAAGGGTACACCTTTTTTAGGCAGCAATCGACATCGGGCTCACCCAAAATTACCAAAACAACGTTACGCCCTCCCCTCTATGTCTTCACCTAACAAGATCCCGATGACGAAACGATACAAAAGATCCAAGATCCAACCATCAAACATGTAATCCGACCGAAACAATCATCGCAATTTAAGTTCCCTCATCGCAAAACATCGAGGGAAATGCAAAAACTGATAATTTAACCAACACCGCAATCCATATTATCCTGGAACCAAAAAGGAGCTATATCGGGCTCGCCCAAAATTACCAAAACAACGTCACGCCCCTCTCTATGTCTTTACCTAACAAGATCCCGATGACGAAACGACACAAAAGGTCCAAGATCCAACCATCAAACATGTAATCCGACCGAAACAATCATCGCAATTTAAGTTCCCTCACCGCAAAACATCGAGGGAAATGCATTAATTGCCTTCTATCTATCGAACTTCTGATACATATTCCTCTTTTGCAACAAATATGAGCAACAAAGGAACCAGCCATTGTTAAACGAAGCGAGCGGGGAATACCACCAATCCTGCATTGCCTCACTGTTTCTAAAGGACATCGACGTTATATTCTCCATGTAAATGTCGCTTATAACCTTGATGCAACAAAAAATCTTAATAAGAAAAGAGAAATCGTTACACTCTTTGCAAAATGATTTTACAATCCTTTCCATTCTGTACCTACATCTCCTGGTGGTGACGAGACTGGACATCGACATTGTACCCTAATTACGATGTGTCCTCAATGTAAATGTCGCTAATGATCTTGATGCAACAATAAATCTTACTAAAATAAGAGAAAGCGTTACGCTCATTGTTCCGTCCCGGAATGTTGAGCTGCGAGCTCTTCGTATCTAATACATCCGACCAAAACAAATTGGTACTTTCCCAATGTACAGGTCATCGACCAACGTTGTTTTTGAATCAGCATATAAGTCGTGTTACCCCCACCAAGAGTTTTGGGACAACTCAGCGCTCCCAGAAGGATTAAACTAAAATAATAAAGTTCAGTACAATCGTAGATCTCGATAAATACACATCCTTTCCATTTACTCTATAATTAGAATCACCCAAGTGAACAACATAGCTTGGGCCCCGCGCGGTATACTTAGTGCGGAACACTCATTGCAAAATGAATTTGTTCCATTCTGTACCCACCATTCTTGATGGCGACGGGACTGATGAGCAGCAGATTAGCGAAGATGGCACCTGTCCCGTGTCCCAGCAAAGTGACGCTGTTGGGGTTCCCTCCGAACTTGTCGATGTTTTCCTTGATCCACCACAGAGCGGCAATCTGGTCCAACAGGCCGAAATTGCTGGCGGTGCTCTCCGTAATCCCAGGCCGGAGGAAACCTGCAACACGAGACGGGGTGAGAACAACCCTTACAATTCACCATAATCCTATTTACGCGGAGTCGTCTCGTGGTCTTCCATTTTTGGAAGCCCATACGACACGGAGTCGCACTTATCTCAATGCTCGTTTTCCCGTTTCGCCTCTTTTCCGGAAGTCCTCCCTTTTTCTCTGGACGTCGCGTCCGAGGTCCGCTCCCGATCGTAAAAAATTAATGCGCCCCACAATCGACAGGTACAGGGTGGCGACTGAAAGACCGAATGATATAAAACAAGAATCTCTCTCCCAAACACAGATTTGTTTAATTTTTTATTATTTTATTTAGGAACATAAATGACCACTGTTCCTGCTCACAGATAGAGGCTCTTTCCACGGCATTTTCCATAACCGTTCACAAGGTTGCAAGTCCTACGTTGGAATTCGGCTCGAGTGTTCTCCTTAAGTTCTTCAATTGTTCCAGGTTTATTTATGTAAGCCCGTTCTTTCAAGTAGCCCCAGAATAAAAAATGTTATCGCTAGGAGATACTCCGACATTGAAATGTTGTCGACATTTTCCCTGGGTTGGAATAATTGATCTTTCACTGGAATAGGAAAACTCAATGAGGTTCACTCGTTGCTGGACCCCATACGTAGCCATTTTAATTTCCAAGACTCTATAACCTATACTAAAAGAAAATAAAGAGAGTTGGAAAATGAAGAAGTTGGGACTTTTTCAAACCCTTCAGTCTTTCAGTGGCCACCCTGTATTACTGCCATTTTGTAATGCCGTAATGCATTTTGGAGTCGAATAGATACCGGATAGGTTCATTCGTCTTAATGCATTTTTCGTTGCATTTTTATCATCCATGCTCCATGTAGCAATATTTCGCCTCATTTTGCTGGCATAAAGTCTCAAAGAGTCGATTAGATACCGGATAGATTCATTCGTCTTAATGCACGAAGATTGCATTTTTTATTGTCCATGCTCGACGTAGCAATATTTCGCCTCATTTTGCTAGCATAAAGTCTCAAAGAGTCAATTAGATACCGGATAGGTTCATTCGTCTTAATGCATTTTTCGTTGCATTTTTATCATCCATGCTCGACGTAGCAATATTTCGCCCCATTTTTCTGGCATAAAGTCTCAAAGAGTCGATTAGATACCGGATAGATTCATTCGTCTTAATTAATTTTTTGTCGCATTTTTATCATCCCTGCTCGACGTAGTATTATTTCGCCCCATTTTGCTGGCCTAAAGTCTGAAAGAGTCGATTAGATGCCCGATTGATTCATCCGTCTTAATGCACAAGGACTGCGTTGCATTTTTTATCGTCCATGCTCGACGTAGCAATATTTCGCCCCATTTTGCTGGCCCAAAGTCTGCTTTTTTCCCCGCGAGGCGGCGCATCCGTTTATGTAGAACGCACTAAGCGCTTCTCCGACACTTCCCTCTAATTTACGATTATGGCCTCGTGCTTGACAATTTCTGTAACCACCTGCCTGTACCTAGGCGCACCCGGCTGAGCAACTACCATCAGGAGGAGAGCAAATTTCAGACTAATGCTTACCGTTAAGAGATAATTAATAGATTTCCAAAGGTCCTCATCCTGCATGATCTCTTGTCAAAGTGCCGCTCGATGAGGCTAAGAACCTCTGAACTTTAATCTACGTTACGTTCATGAGGATGCACTTCGTTTTTCTCTTTGACCGCTTCCCTGCTCCCCGCGTAATGGTGGAATACAACTCTCGAAAGTAATATTTATTTCCCCTCCAGAAGCGAGGGAAATATTTTCGGAAAACGACGCTAGGAGTTTTGCGGGATTTTTCTCAGCAGTTCATTTGCACCGAATTGCGGTTTCATATGATGGTTTACGAGCCTCTCGGCTTGATGCTGTAAATCAGAAAGTTGGGACGATTTCTGGAAAATCATCGGAGCATCACGAGAATTTTCCGCAGTGGTGCTTGTGGTTGTTGGAAATATTGCAAGCTACAGTGATGCTGTTTTCAGATATAAATTCAAGGTGGGGTATGAATTAATTAGTCTGCCTCGTTCCGAGGAAAATCATCTCTGAAATGTTTAGTACCTTATCAAAAGGATTAACGCGAAAGGCTATGATAAAAGAATCGAGTGGATCGAATCTAAATTTTTAGGAAGTAGGAGAGTCTGCGCCTATTTTCCTGGATTCTTGGTTTTTGATACCCAAATTGACTACAGAGTGCCTCTCAGCGCCATCTGTGATTTCAATGCGAACTAATCTTTTTCTCCTATCACGTTACCTTCGTTTTAGCTCGAAAGGGCATTAGACACCTTTTTTGCCTTTATCCCGTTCAAATGCGAGTTTTTCGATTATTAGAGTGTTATAAATTGTTGCACAACTGTCCTCATACTTTCTTTTCTCACACTAGAGTCCTCAATAATTGTATATTGATTTAAATACGACAGCTCGACGCCATTTTGATTCTTGTGTAGGCTAATCGTAAATCAACAAAATTTGTCTAAAAAATCCAGATTTTGAAAGTGTCGAGATAATTCTCAGTGCACACCAGTAATGTGTCAAAATTGCAAATAATTCGGTCCAATATCCTTAAAAAAAGAAGTATCTTATTCGAATCGACGCTTTTGGAAGGGATTTCGCTTAACCTTAATCAACATTCATTTCACACAAAATTTATTTATGACTAAGAAGTTAAACTTCAAACAAAATCCAAAATGCACTTTCCCGTACTTATGGCGGTGCGGGAATAATTAAGGTAGGACGACGGGTATGTAAAAGTAGTACTATTGAAATAAATTATCAAGTACGTCCGTTTCACTGGGAGGAAAAAAGTGCAGAATTTTCAAGGGAACATTCCCACGCGGAGAAAATGATTTCGAATGAAAAGATAGGCAGCAAGGCTCTCTGGGAATTCCTCGAGCTCGGTACATAGAGCCACCCCCGTTGGAGCGAATTTATAAATTTACTCTCAACCGTGACTTACAACCGTGCATTACTCTTCCCCCGCAGAAATATTTTTCATCGCGTAAGCGGCAAGGACCGGAGCTTTCTGAATGCACTCCGCGATTGCATTAACGCTTTGCGATGCATCGGACGGTGGAGGGACGGAATTCGAGTCCTCGTCCGAGTCGAATGCGCCAGGGCAAAGTGAAAAGAGAGACGAAATTAAGTAGGGAAGTCTTAAGCCCAAAGGCGGAACCATAACGCTCCTCTGGGACGAGAAGTGCGCTATCAAAGAGATCCCCAGGGATAATTTATGAGGTGATCAAAAAGGATCCTCGCAACCATCGTGGTCCTCGAGCATTATCTGGAAATTTGATGAAAAAGAGCTACTTCATCTTCTCCCGTTGAAATTCCCGAAGAGCCCTCTCAGATGGGAGATATCGAAATTCTTTCCCTTTATCACTAGTGATGAATAGGGTAAACTATCCCCCCCGGGAAAATAGTTTATTTATTGTGACCTAAAGAGATAGGGGATTGTCAAAACTAAATGGAAGATATCGAAATTCTTCCTCCTTAAAACCGATGAAGAATAGTGAAAACGAACGATGGCCTTGAAAAATAATTTATTTATTGTAAATTAATTAATGTCGGAACCGTGTATTCCCAAGATTCGAAATTCTTTCCCTTTATCACTGGTGATGAATAGAGTAAACTATTTTCTCCGGGAAAATAGTTTATTTATTGTGACCTAAAGAGATTCTTGAAGATAATTTATTAGGTGGACAAAAGAGATTGTCAGAATGAAATGGAAGATATCGAAATTCTTCCTCCTTTAACACCGATGAACAATAGTGTAAACGAACGTTGTCATAGAAAAATAATCTATTTATTGTAAATTAATTAAAGTCGGAACCGAGTATTCCCAAGATTCGAAATTCTTTCCCTTTATCACTGGTGATGAATACAGTAAACTATCGTCCCCGCAAAAATAATTTATTTATTGTGAACCAAAGAGATCTTTGAGGACAAACCCAATGAAATATCGTATTTATCATTGAAATGACGACAAATTGATCGTCTGATTACACACGACGCATACACCTCGATTTTTACATTCTGCAAGGTGTACCTGGGATCATGGGTTTACAATTAATATGACTTTAAAGTAGAATTCAAATTATTGAAACTTCATAAGGGAGCTTACCCAGAATTCCGATGCGGAAATTCATGGTGACGAACACCACGTTTCCATGGGCTGCTATGATAGACCCGTCGTATGGATTACCACTGCTCCAGTCAAAATTGTCGCCATGGATGAAGACCATCACTGGGAACATCTTCTTCACTCCTGTAAAAAAAAAAAACATTTTCTCTGTAAAGATTAATCTTTTCGATTGCTCCATTTACATGTACAGATAAAGATGCAGATTTTGTTCTACAGTATATATTGCCGTGCAGCATATATCGAATCGCCGTTTATGATATCTGAGTTTCGCGCCTCTATATATATTTGGCGCGAAACTCTACCGACTTTCTTGAAGAAATCAAAGACAATCGGTTCTCAAACAAAGGAATTGCTTTCACTAATTTCCGCATTTCGCATCGCCGTTTATGATATGAAATCAAAGAGAATCGGTTCTCGAAGAAAGAAATTGTTTTCACTGATTTCCGCATTTCGCCTCGCTGTTTATGATATGAAATCAAAGATAATCGGTTCTCAAAGAAAGGAATTGTTATCACTGATTTCCTCATTTCGCAATGAAATCTAAGACAATTGGGTCTCAAAGAAAGGAATTGTTATCACTGATTTCCGCATTTCGCAATGAAATCAAAGACAATTGGTTCCCAAAGAAAGGAATTGTTATCACTGATTTCCGAGCGAACGGCCCTTAGATCTTCGTGGAACCTAATCATCGCGCATCCCGTTCATAATATTAGTTATTATCCTAAATGTTAGTATGTTGCACTTTTCCTTAAACTTTTGTCGCCATTCCAAAAACGGAAGTAGATTTCTGCCGGTTTACGAGGAGGTAATTTACGTTGCGAAACGAGTAACCATGAACTCTCTTCATGGGTGCGAAACTCATGGGGTAGGTCAGTGCAAAAATGTATGCTACTCTCCTCGCGATTCTCGGCATGCCCCTTGCCCCTGGGACCATTCACTGTACATTTTCAATATCAGGAGGATAAATTTCACGATCGACCTAGCATCCGCCAGAAATATTTCTCGAGTCGCTGTCCGAATTACTCGGAGGTAGAGGACGTGATGCCAACCAGTAAAGTCGCGGGTGGAATCGATACTTTTCCCAGATTTATTAGTCGAATCTCTCCTCCTGATCGCGCAGGAATCTTTCGTACATTCCTGCGATTTAATGGGAAATACTTTCACCTACTCTCCTTTGGAGGAAGGAAGTATCTGAGGTATCGCGAATTTCGAAATTTGTGTCAAAATGCCTCTATCCCGTTCAAATGCGAGTTTTCCGATTATTAGAGTGCTCTAAATTGTTGCACAACTGTCCTCATACTGATATAAGCTAAAAAGGAAAAAAAAATTGGCTTTTGTTCGATGTTTCATGATAATGTACCCACCCTTAAAAGTAATATCTGAACGAAAGTAAAGGAGATATTAAAATAAATCGTAATCATATATTACTTATGTTTTCCTTCTTATCTGAAACTAATGCCAGTATGTTTAAAAAATGGATAAGAATAATTAGGAATTACGTAAAATTAAATTCTGATCGATGTTAGATTAAATATTTTCAATTGTTAACTCTCTCATGTACTAATAATAAGTGGGCGCGAAACTCTGACATAGTCATTACCCTAGTAGCATAGAATAATTTCTAAATATTTATAATATTTTTTTTATCATTTATATGTATAATTTATGTATGTTTTCCATCTGCGACGATTTTATCAGTTAAATATATAGAAAATATAGGACAAATATATTGTGTGCTACTAGGGTACCTACGATGTTTAGCCTGATTTGTACATTTATAGAGTAATTATGAATCTACAAGTTCAAAGCCAATGTATAATTTATGTATGTTTTCCATCTGCGACGATTTTATCAGAGATATCAGAGGAAAAGATGGAGGAGTAGAGATGATATGGAAATTGTTCTCGGAGTACCGCATCAAGCTTTACTTCCAGTTAGGAATTGTGTCGACTGTGAATTTAAGGTATTGAAATAAGTACATAATATGATGATAAATCTACATTACATGGAATACATCGGAATAGTTATGACACGGATTCAAGAATTGCCGACTTGAAAATATGCCAGAATTTAAAGTGGAACTTCATCTCGATGTGCCATTTTTCGGAATATCGGATCTCAAGAGGTCTTTCGGGTCTTCTGCTATATGTGTGTGGGAAATGTGTATAATGTGTGTAACATGTGTAAAATGTGTGTAAATGGGAAAGAATTCATGCAGTATCATAGATATATGTACATCGTTCCAGAAAATCCTTTTTCAAACTGTTGTTCTACTTTTCATATAACAGTAAATTGTTATTCATATAACTGTAAAACAAATATTATAATGTTACAATATTATATTTAATAGATTTTAATCTATCGATAGAGTATAGAGTAACAAAGCTTTGCTTTCATTCGTAACTACTTTATTAATGAACGATTAAGGGTGACTAACCGCACTTTTGGCTCTATAAACTCAGCGAAGGAAGACCGAAAAGAAGAATTTACTATTCGGTAATTCGCCGTTAACCCTTTGGCTACTAAAGGCATCCGACGTTTGGTCCAATGTTGCTTGCACGCATCGATGAATTTCGCCCTTATGTCGAAAGAGTTCCATAGCGAAGGGGTTAAGTGGACTATTTTTTAACCGTTTGTTCGTTTGAAATGTTTATTTCAGCACCGTAATGCGATCGTATCCCGATAAACAACTCAAATATACACATTACTCTAACAATAAATATCAATAAATTACAAGAGCAAAAAAGGATCCTAAGAAACTCATAACAAGGGACTCGCAACTGCGACTGGTGCCTAAAATAATTAAAGTTAAAAAAGAAATAAAAAAGTAAAGTAAAAATAAATAAAGAAAGTTTGTATGTAAACGGTGGTTTCATGAAATTCATGGTTCAGGGACATTTCAAGAAGAGGAGATATGTTACAATAGTTACATCTAAGTGTTCGAGATCTATGATCGAGTGATCATAATTCAATTGACGTTAAATGTTTGTTTATAAGTAATGTTTATGTGAAGATCTTGGTCGAGATATCTTAAGAAGTTGCCATATGCCGAAGACGTTGCATGTAAATGATCCAGTTCTACAATTTCTAATCTCTCGATAATACAAGGAACAACAACGGGTTAATTAATTTACGTACTCGTATACATATTTAGCTCAATCTTATTTGTCCACTGGCCGGCACATTTACTCTATGCTATTAGCTGTAGGTAACATTTTGTGAGCAACGTAAGGATCAATTGTTCCTTTCGTTGTTATTGCGAATTATTAGTTATCTAGAGTCAACCCTTATAGTGCCGAACAACGAAATATCGTTGTTTTACAATTGCTAACGACTTCGGCCGGCACTAAAAGGGTTAATTATAATAATATTTATATGTTCGTCCTATTGTGAACTTTATCACACAAGGCGACCTTCTATGAGACCAACATTCAATGTTAAATGTTTGTTTATAAATAATGTTTATGTGAAGATCTTGGTCGAAATATCTTAAGAAGTTGCCATATGCCGAAGACGTTGCATGTCAATGCTCCAGATCTACAATTTCTAATCTCTCGATAATACAAGGAACAACAACGGGTTAATTAATTTACGTACTCGTATAAATATTTAGCTCAATCTTATTTGTCCACTGGCCGGCACATTTACTCTATGCTATTAGCTGTAGGTAACATTTTGTGAGCAACGTAAGAATCAATTGTTCCTTTCGTTGTTATTGCGAATTATTAGTTATCTAGAGTCAACCCTTTTAATGCCGAACAACGATATATCGTTGTTTTACAATTGTTAACGACTTCGGCCGGCACTAAAAGGGTTAATTATAATGATATTCATATGTTCGTCCTATTGTGAACCTTATCACACGAGGCGACTTTCTAAGATACCAACATTCACGGCACGGTGCCTCGTTTTCACAATTTTCCTGACATTCCGGTTGAATAATACATTTCAGAGGGGGATCACTTTCTCCGCAAATGCGAGGGAATTTCATCCGCAGTTAGCACGGCGGCAGGAAAAATGTCGACGGTAAAGTAGGGATTTTTTTTCTTCCCGAAGAGTAAATAACAAATGGCGGCGTTGGCTTTAGAAGGAGACGCGGTCGGCGAATAGCTAGCAGGGCGGCGTAGAGATTTGCATGAAAATTGAAGGCACGATCGGCTCTAGGCCCTACGCGCATAAAATTGATGTATCGGGATTCTTGCCTTCGGATATTTTCATCTTCCGTCGCGGGCAGGCGTAACTGCCATCGTAAATCATTCGCAGGCGAATCGCCTAATAAAACCCGAACCGGCAGGGAAGCCCATATCCGGAGAACGACAATAAAGGGATATCCGCCGGCACGCACATCTTTCGGTGACGGAATAGCAGCTCGAGGATCGCACTTCTCCTCCGTTTGCGATTCTCGATCATCGCGGATTACACGGAAGAGGGCGGAAAGATTTTTCCCGATTTTATCGTTTAGCCTTAACAGAAACTCAGGACCCGGCATGGCATCCCCGTGGTTCTCTGAAGTGTTCTCCAAAGCGTTCTCCAAAGCGTTCTTCAAGACGTTCTCCAAAGCGTTCTCCTCCAAAGCGTTCTCCAAAGCGTTCTCCATAGTATTCGCCATAGTATTCTCCAAAGCGTTCTCCAAAGCGTTCTCCAAAGCGTTCTCCAAAGCGTTCTCCAAAAAGCGTTCTCCAAAGCGTTCTCCAAAGCGTTCTCCAAAACGTTCTCCAAAACGTTCTCCAAAACGTTCTCCAAAGCGTTCTCCAAAGCGTTCTCCATAGTATTCTCCAAAGTTGTCTCCAAAGTGTTCTCCAAGATTTTCTATACGTGAATATCGGCAAGAACAAGCTCCAATGGTTAACCCTTTGACTACGGAACCCCTTCGATATATGGGCGACATTCATCAAGACGTGCACGCAACATTGGACCAAACATCGGACGCCTTTAGGCTCCTTTAGTAGCCGAAGCGTTAAGGTGACATGAAAGTGGCATCTGTAAAAAGCTTAACTTTCGTGCAGTATAGTTATCATTTGTCTTTTTTATAGTGAAATAATTGAAATGGGCTCTGCGACCACGTGTTCGTGTTCATGATACAGGAAGATAAGCCTTTAGAAAGACATGCTTGTTATGAGCTATGCATTTAAGGTGTATGGGGTGGATAACAAGTGCACCATAAGTGCCTTCAGAGAACAAACATAATTACCACTAAAGGAAACAAATGGCCCCGTGATCTATCAAAATATGACTGTACGTACTCGTTAGTGTGTATAAAAAATAATAAATCCAGGGGGCTTCTCGAATTTTCTTTTTATCTATTTGTAATCATTGCACTGGAAGGACACGTGGGGGATGCAATTTCATATAACTCTCAATGTATAGTGCAGGTGACGTCAATATAAATATAAATGTCGGCAACGTTGCGCGCCAGTTTATCCTATGTTACCTCCCGAGTATACGAAATGGCGTTACCACCGAAAAGGGTGGGAATCGGGGATTATTTCAGAAGGTACATCAGTTAGAAGAATTTTTTTTATCGACGTCGATTAAGTTTTTCGACACCTTTCACCGTCATCTTAAATTGCCACGACCATAAGCTTCGTGCAGTCATTAGTAAAGTTAACGTTTTTACATCTTCCTAATATTCATTCAATATTAAGTTCCCGGGTAAGGCTAAACATTTTTTGTACGAAAATCCATATTTGGAACGTGTCAGGACAATTTTTAAGGGGGTTTCACTTCACCTTAATGTAAAGCTTCGTGCAGTCATTAGTAAAGTTAACGTTCTTACACCTTCCTAATATTCATTCAAAATTAAGTTCCCGGGTAAAGTTACACATTTTTTTACAAAAATCCATATTTTGAACGTGTCAGGACAATTTTGAGGGGGGTTTCACTTCACCTTAATGTAAAGCCTCGTGCAGTCATTAGTAAAATTAACGTTTTTACACCTTCCTAATATTCACTCAAGGTTAAGTTCCCGGGTAAAGTTTTTCTTACCACTTTCGGTGTTTGCGAGTTACATTAAGTTCGAGATTTATGCTTTCACGTAGATTCCCAGGAAATCTCACCGGCAAGAAGGAGCACTTTGTAATTACAAGGTTTGTAGCTACAAGGTTTAAGTTAATGTAAGATTAATCTGATGAAAATGTCATGTACTAACTCGGTAATAATGCATTACCGAGAATACGACTAAAGCTTAACTTTAGACGAAGCACTCTGTAATTACAAGCTTGAAGGTAAATTAAAAATAATAAAACAAAAAATTACACGCTAATAGACTAATACATTATCGATAACACAATTGATGTTTAATTGACTGCGAAGAAGTACTTCGTAATCACAAGGTTTTAATTAGTTCAAATAAATTCAATGAAATCGTTACGTACTAACATAACGATGCATTAATGAGATTACCATTGAAATTTAAATAGATGATAGAATAACACATTGCTGTATTTGATAACAATCGTAGGGGTGATGTTCATTATAATTAAATTGTTATTGGAACACCCCAATTTCACTAAAATGTAATTATGGAATTACGAAAAAAATTCCAGTAAAAGATATAAATATTTCGCAAATGAAATATAGCCTTACTGATATGCTGCATATATTAGGGTGTCCCATAAGTTCCTTCCCCACCGATTTATTTTGTATAATAAAATAAGGAAGAAACTTATGGGACACCATTATACTTAGGTACATGATATCACGTTTGGGTGATACGTGAAATGAAATGTACTTATGTATGTTATAATTTATTGGGTGACAAATACAAATCATGACACTGCGAGTTCAATGACCATTCCCCTAGTATCATAGAATAATTTCTAAATATTTCTTTGTAATCTTTGCTAAATATCTCAAGCGACAGATTTTTTAAGATTTCTTGTAAATTTAATTCAAAGGTATTTGATATATTTGTTGAAAATNTATTAAATAAATATTATAGAGATAATATTCTAAAGTAAACGTTTTGCAAATATTTCAAATGCCTGGTAAATATTTACAAAATGTAGGATATTCCTTAAATATGTAGAAAATATAGGACAAATATTTTGTGCTGTTAGGGTTCATACATGGGCAATATAGAGCGATGATAAAAAAAGTACATGGGGCGCAAGTACACTTGCACATTTTCGTAGCATTTAATTCTCCAATGTATATCCCATACATACCCAGGCAGTACAAATACATAGCACAGAGGTTCATAGAATATTCTTTGAAAATATTTCAATATTACTAGGAGCATGTAATGAGCAAGCATCCATTGCGTTCGCATTTGTAACGGAAATTTCACTTGCACATTTTCGTAGCACTTAATTTTCCAATGTATATCCCATACATACCCAGGCAGTACAAATACATAGCACAGAGGTTCATAGAATATTCTTTGAAAATATTTCAATATTACTAAGAGCATATAATGAGCAAGCATCCATTGCCTTCACATTCGTAACGGAAATTTCAGCCGAGTAAAAGGTTCCGCGGTTCTGTATAAAATTGCAGGACAACACTCGGGCCGATGTGAAGAAATTGCGGTGGAGAGTAATGAGGCGAAGGTTCGGTTTTCTTGCCCCGAGGGAACGGGCTGGCTGTGGAGAAGTCGCGCGTGAATAAGGGAATCTTGGCAACGAACGCGTGAATCGGGGACGAATACAGGCGCACCTCTTTGGCGCGTAATAAGTGCAGTATAAATCAGGGATACTTGGAGTACGTCCAAAAATTGCCGCGCTTTACCGGCTAAGTGGCGACGGTTTGGAAGCGCGGCGCCTTCCAGGAGGAGCTTGCGAAGTCTTGCGATAATTGTCTCCCCTGCCGGCGCGGCGTTTGCATTGCCAAGGAGAAAGTGGATCGAAACCCGCCAGCCGTCGCCATCTCTCGGCGGAGGCGCGAAGTCTCCCCCGGCTGCAGCTTCGCGGCTCCCGGCACAGATGGCGCCGCGGGAACCTCCGAGGCGCGGCTCGATATCGACGTTCTCCACGCTGTGGAATCCGAATTTCCCGCCATTACCCGGAGCAATGATGATACTTTTAAGAAAAGTTAATTCGACACATAACGCTTTCCACGAAGTTCCTTGCTTTCAAGTCGACGCATCGATTAAAAATGAATATTTCTAAGGAAGCTGAGGAATCGATTTCCCAGTGAACACTGTTATATATAACTGTTCGGTAAATGTTACGTTTTCGAAACTAGCATGTTATGTAGCATGAATGTAATATGGATGTTACATGTAAGTTGTTATTCCCCACTCAGTAAGGTAACATGTTATATTAATATTATAATTTCAGTTACCTTAAAATAATGTTAATTTTTCATACATTTAATAAAGAAATCACGAAATTTTATCCAAAATTTAATAATTTTTACGAAACGGTCAATCTGAAAACGGTAATTCGAATTAATGTTTTATCGAATACTGCTTTTTAATAGAAAAATTAGAAATTATTGTTACTAATTAAGCTTGACCTATCAGCAGACTCGTTACTTATAACTTTAGGACGCTTGTTTTGAGTTAGAACAATAATCTAATTATTCCTTTTAGTAATTCACGAAACTGTAATTCTGGAAACGGTAATTCGAATTAATCTTTTATCGAATATTGCTTTTTAATAGAATAATTAGAAAATATTGCTACTATTTAGGCTTGACCTAACAGCAGACTCGTTACTAACGTTAGTACGCTTGTTTTGACTTATAACAACAATCTAATTATTCCCTGTAATAATTCACGAAACTGTAATTCTGAAATCGGTAATTAGAATTAATGTTGTATCGAAGACTGTTTTTTAATATCTATTTCCGCGCAGTTTTGGTTTTCGTCGCTGCTTGATGAGAAATCCGCAAAACTCGAAACCATTCGAACTTCTAAGCTTGTACGTTCGATTCGAAATCCCGAATAGAAGGGAAAAGCTCTTTCAAAGCCCCCTTCGATTTACGATGGCGAAACTATTTCTTTAACTCTGTCTCCCTGAAGTGAATCTTGGGCGACTTGAAATTTGCTACGATGCGGAAACCGGAAGTGACGGAAATTCGTTCAGTGTCTGAAAGTATATTCTACAGGAAGCTATAGGTACAGCAAACCTGGATGGCAGGAAATAACACACAAAACTACATCAAACTACTTTACTTAATACAACTTATTGTTGGTAGAAATTTTTATTATGCGACGGAAATTGATACGTAAGGCCAATGTAATTTTAAGCCAATTGCAAAAAACGTTATAAATTATCTTTTGAAATTTTGTAAAAGCCTTCCGAGTAAGTGGAAGGTTGTCGTTAACTTTATGACTGTTTCACAATAATTTCATGTTCATTGGCTTGGTTGTTCTCTTGTTATCGACATTTTCCGCAAAATGGTATAGGGGAGTAATATTTCCACGAGTTCAATACTTTTTGGGTGGTACTAAATTTCGGAGAGATAAATCAAATTTATTCATACCGCAGCATTGCAGATGAAGGCGTTCGTTATATATTTAATGGATTTAAAGTTAAAAGAGCTCTAAGTGGGTATAATTACTTAAATCGTTTAATTGATGTGGAGGACAGGTGTAACAACTGACTCCGATCATCTACATTGTCACTAAAACATTCACTAAAATATATCAGTCGCAGACTTTTTGAATAAATCACTTTTCAAACGTCCAAAAATCCTGCAGAACAATTTTTAAACGTTTCCCCTAATACTACCCTAGTAGCACAAAATATTTTACCTATATTTTCCATATATGTAACGAATATCGTATATTTTGTAAATATTTAGCAGACATTGGAAACATT